CCGCTCCTCCTCCCCCCACACCCCCCCTTACCTGCTTCAGGCTTCCCGCGAATCAAATGTTCGCGGGAAGCAGGGGAGGGGGCGGAGTTGGGGCGGGGACTTTGAGGAAGGGGCGGAGTTGGGGCGTGGGCGGGGCTGGGGGTGGGTCCGGGGTCCGGTGGAGTGTCCTCCTTTTGGAGGCTCGAAATATGGTAACCCTACCCAGTGGTCGGCAGTGGAACCCCCTGGAGTGGCGCCTTTATGGCGCTGGATATATACCCCGGCCGACCCAGTGCCCCCTCAGTTCTTTCTTACCGTCTGTGACGGTCGTTGGAACTGTGGAGTTCGGCTTTGCTGCTCTCCACTCTCCCTAGCGTTTTTCCTCTCAACAGTGTTAATAGTTAGTACAGTTATAGAGTTTATATAAAGTTATAGTGTACATAGTTCTACTTAGCGGGTTGGCAGGGATCTTCCCTCCTCCCCACCGGTAGCTTGGGCTCATGCCCAAGGCTCTAGGCTTTAAACCCTGTGCGTCCTGCTCCAAGCCCATGCCATCGGGTGACCCCCATGACTCTTGCCTAAAGTGTCTGGAGGAATCTCATCAGACTGAGAAGTGCAGGATCTGCAAAGGCTTTCAGCCCCGGACTAAAAAGGAGTGTGACTTTCGTTTGCAACAGCTCCTCATGGAGGCAGCTCTTAGCCCTCAACCTCCAGCACCGCACCAAGACCTGAGCGCTTCGGTGCGCAGCGCCCCGGCGGCAACAGTAGGAGCTGCACCACGGTCGGACTCTGATAGAGACCTGCAGCACCGGCATTCCCTGGCACCACAGCCGACATCATCGGTCTGACACCGGTCCCACTTGCCTGGTCAGAAGCGGCACTGTAGACCGGAAAAGGCTGGCCCATCTCAGCAGACGCCAGCCTCCCTGGACCCGCCCTTGGCGCCGCGTCCCGTAGAGGAGCGGCCAGGGGCACAAGTGCCGACTTCAGCACCATTGACTCTGTCACAGAGAGCGGAGCCGTTGAGTCCGGTGTGTCTGGACTCCCCGACACGTAGCGTGGTTGAAGTCCAGTTGCCATCGACTCCAGACACATTTGCGGCTGCAAGGGACCTGATTGCTATGACAGCATCGGCATCCCCTCAGCAGACAAAGGTCCCTGCTCGTGTGGTCCCATCCCGAGGCAAGCCGGCCCTTATCCACCCGGCACTGTCAGTTGAGCCACGGCACCGTTCCCGCTCTCAGCACCGTTCCCGCTCTCAGCACCGTTCCCGCTCCCAGCACCGTTCCTGCTCCCGACGCCACTTGCAGTCCCTGCACCGCTGTCCTTCATGGCACTGGTCAGACTCACGGCACCATTCTCGGCACTGCTCCGTATGCCAGTCACCGTCCAGGAGCAGATCTCGGTCCAGACACCACTCCCAACGATGATCACCGTCGAGGACTAGGTCTAGATCCTGGCACCGATCTAGGTCACTGCACCGCTCCCCTTCGCGGCATTGCTCTCCATCTTCGCAGACCCGCTCGGCACCACCGTGGGCATCGCGCTCCAGCTCTCGTCTATCCGACTGCCGCCACTTGGATCACAGCACTCTGAACTCAGGGGCTGCTCATTGGTAGGCGCAGGGACAAGGCCCAATCCAAGGGTCTACCCAATGGCCCTTTTGGACGCCCTGGGCGTACCACCAGGACCAGGATTCTCCATCAGGGGCTTCTTGTTCAGCCCCCTCCAAGCCGCGGGTGCCAGAGGTCACCATCAGCCGTCCAGCGCCGTCCATCCAGGCTCCAGACCCTCTTCCAACCCCGCTTCCGGGTCCGGACACTGAGATCGTGGGCTCAGGACTCCAAGACACAGCTGACCAAGAGGGCCCAGATGATCCTCTTCCTCCTGTGGCCGCCTCCTCATCTTCACCTGATAAGGCGGTGGCAGGCATTGCTATTTTGGTCCCCCCCAATAGACCTCCGTGCCCACCAGGACCTCTTATGTAGGATGGCGCGGAATATGACCCTCCAAGCAGAGGAGGTTATAGAGATGGAGGACCCTGTGGTTGACATTTTGTCCACAGAGGCCCCATCTAGGGTGGCCCTACCGCTCATCCAGACCATTCAGACCACGGCCAAAACAATCTGGTAAACGCCTGTGTCTATTCCTCCAACTGCTAAAGGGGTGGAGCGGAAGTACTTCGTCCCCTCCAAGGGATATGACTATCTATACACACATCAACAGCCCTGTTCACTGGTGGTGGCCTCAGTGAATGGGAAAGAGCGCCACGGTCAGCAAGCCCCGGCACCCAAATCGAAAGAGGCCAAACACCTTGATTTATTTGGGCGCAAAGTCTACTCCTTGGGCAGTCTTCAGCTCCGGATTGCAAACCAGCAGGCACTCGTGAGCTGATACAACTATAACTCTTGGAACTCCATGTTAAAGTTCAAGGAGCTAGTTCCTTCGGAGTCCAGAGAGGAGTTTGGGGCCTTGGTGGAAGAGGGCAAGACAGTGGTGAGGACCTCATTACAGGCCTCACTGGACACCGCAGACTCTGCCGCTCGGACCCTCTCTTCGGGCATTGCGATGAGATGTATATCTTAGCTGCTGGCTTCCGGCTTACCACTGGAGCTTCAGCAAACATTACAGG